TTTTTCCATAGATAGAAAGAAACAAAAGAGCACACAACACAACAATCGGATAAACACCGATCAGGGAAAAGAGAGAAAACAAGGGGAATGAACAGAGAAACCCAAACAAAGATGGGAGAGGACCAGGAAAAGTTGGGAATAAAAAAATCACCACACACCCTAAGGATAAGGGGAAGAGAGAACAAAATAAGGTTTTTAGAGAGAAAAGGTCTACCTTCTCTCTAGAAAAAACATGTGAAGGTATACTATTTCTTTTTTTATACTGATCCAAATTAACTGCCACATAGTTGGACAACTTATCCACCCATATAAACAATAATTTAAATATATAAGTTGGATACCTAAAAAATAAAATTCTACTGAAAAAATACCAAAAATCTTACAATTAATAATAGCAGTTTTATATACTTCATTATAAAAAATTTGAATTAAAAAATAAAAAATTCAATTAATAATATAAAATCTATTAATATTTTGTAAAAACCTAACTAATTTTTTGAATTTAAAAAAATCTTCTAAAATAAAATTTCAATCCAATACATCTTCGTAAAATGCAAAAACGTCTATACTTCACTTCTTCTACTACACTACTAGGGTAGTTGTAATTGTGCGATGTTCAGCACTTCTGACTCAGTCAACGATGTTGGAGGTTTATAATGAACCACAAGAGCAAACTGTGAATTTCATCGGAGAATCAACAAACTCTCAATTTCCTCATAACACTTTCCCCAATCACACAACCGTTCCGAATCTGAATCTGAATATGAACCCTAACTTCTCCATCCCCCTTCCTCATACTCCTCACCGGAAAGAACCGTGGTTCAGTTCAGGTAAGTTCTCTTTATTTTTTTATTCAATCAACTTTTTTCTATTCAAACTCTTTTTTTAATTCATTCTCTTTTTTATTCAATTCAAGCAACTCTTTTCTTTTTCTTTATCACACAAACTTTTTTCAAAATAATTTTTTCTCTTTTCATAAAAGAATTCTTATAATCCGTTCCTTAGCAGATAAACTAAAAGCTTGGAGCATCAGAACTAGGATTAAATTAGCTAACGTCTACACACTTCTAGGATACTATTATAATTGTTCCCTAAAAACAACCAATACATCCCTATTTTCTACCATGAACTACATAGCTCTGATTTTCTCATTGCACTATGAGAATACGTAGGCACGGGGATTCAAATCCTTAGCGAGCACACTAATTAAAAACTTATTTTCCCCCTTTCGCAAGTAACATTTAGAAGATAACACCCATTTGTGCAAAAAACAATCAAAACGGTTCCCGTTGAGTATGACAGATGTGAGGGATGTTATTACCTTCCCCTTACATAACTGACTCCCTTACCTGTTTCTCTTTTCCAAGGGTTTTATCATTATTTTCCCTTTCCTTTGAAAATAAATAAAGTTCGGCGGCGACTCTATTGTACTTCGAGCGTGCGATACGCTCGGATATTTTTCATGTCGTGACAGTTACACCTGCCCAAACATGCCAAATAACACATTTCTAGGTTCATGTAACCGGTTAACAAAAATGTGTAACCGGTTACCGTTGTTATGAAAATGAAAAATACTTATGAAAACAGGCTGCGTGAAAGGCCATGGTATGTTAAAGTAACTTATACATATGGTGGAATATGATTAAGTATTTTCAAGCACTTAAGGTATATCATAGCTTGAATTGCAACTTGTACCTATTAAATGAAGATCAATGATCTAAAGTTCATCTTGATAAAGCTGCTTAATAGATAATTTTGATCCATAACTCTTTAGTTATGATTCTTTTGTCCATCCTTTCTTGATTCATACACATGGTAGTTGTCTTCATCAAAACATAGTGTTGAAGAAGTTTGACTTCACATGGAGATGTAATCAGACACATTCTTATTATTCTTCATGCGAAGATTCTCGATTGTTTGCGTAGGGACTGCAACTTTACTTTCTTCATTGTTGCATCACCACCATAACACTGCATTAGTGTATCTCGCGTCGCCTTCGACGTTGTCAGGTTGACAATCTTCTCAAACACCTTTATATCCATACATTGATGGATATAGAATAATGCCTTTTGACCATTCTTTCTCGTTTCACGTTGCATATTTCTTTGCGATTCTGTTGCATTTTCTACAACCGGCGTGTAAACATCTTGAACGCCAAATAACACACGCATCTGAACCAACTACCGATTCCAATTCTTCTCGTCGAATACTGAAGGCTTTGTATTAAAGTCACCGTTTCTACCGTTCATCTTCGTTCTTATGTAAATCACTCAATTCTCACCAACACTCATGTTTCACAATCCTTGAGAATCCAGAAACATGATTCTCTTTGATTTCGATCTTCAATTCAATGCAAAATTGAGGAACAAAATCAACCACACACCTCACGTTCAATTGTGTTTTCCTATGAATTAGAACTGGATCTCTGAATACCAATTATTAGAGTTAACAACAATGAACCTCCATTGATGCACAACAAGAAGAAAAATATGAAAGAATTGCATATATATATATATATATATATATATATATATATATATATATATATATATATATATATATATATATATATATATATATATATATATATATATATATATATATATATATATATATATATAGAGAGAGAGAGAGAGAGAGAGAGAGAGAGAGAGAGAGAGAGAGACTGTAACTAGCTTTTCTAAATCTCAAATTCACAATCAGTTACAAATGTAATTAACTTTTGATTTATATACAAACCCAAATGAAACTTAAATACAAATACAATCTCAAAGGCAAGTGAAATGAAAATTAAAACTAAAACAATCTTAAATTTGAATTACATTTAACACTTGAAATCTCGATCAGCCAGTAGACCAGATAGAACAAGTCTAGTGAACTTGTTGCACATTCTCATCTAAATCCCTGTAAAAGAGAAGGCAAAATATCAATAAAATAATGTCTTACCTGGAACATTGAATTAAAATATACTCCAAAACCACAATCTGAACCGCAAAATGAATATTATCAACATTTTTTTTATGTCTATCCAACAATGCAATAATGATTAGCAACACAAATGAGTGTTGTAATATTGTAGAAAACACTAGTTTGTTCAACTTCCGCTCCATAGCTATGCTTTAAAAACAATACAACCTCTCTTCAAATTAGTATAACTAATAAGAATAAAAGAATATGTGAAATCAAGAGTAAGTTATATATGTAAAGCAACTACAATAAGAGTTAATGTACATGTTAACCAAAAGAAACACATTATTGAAATTCCATTCATTAACAACGTATTAAATATTCAACTATTATCCTGCAAAACCGCTCAAGGCAGTGACTAGAAAAGAAAAAACTCAACATATTAATCTCAATTATAGATAGTATTCACTATATATAACAAAATAAAAAATATCTACTATCAAAACGAACGAACCCGTTTTTATTTTATTTGACTAATCAAATTCTTCTTTTTCTTCAATTCAACAAAAATACAAACACAAAATTAACATCTTGTATAACAAATAACTATTATCAAAATCAATACCAAAATAATCTCAAAATATTACTGATTAACTCACCTTTTAATATTTTTTTCAACCTTCAAAATCATTGCTCTAGTGCCAAAAGAAACTGGATTAAAATAAAAAATTAAAAGAAACCACACGAGCAAAACAAATATTTATTTTATTGCATTTTTTTAATTCTTGAGTTAAGAATGATTAATGTAACAAATAAGTTAAATTTTTTATTTTAGTTGGTTGAAGGAAGAAAAAGAAAATGAGAAAAATATTGAATCTTTTTTTTTAAAAAATTCACCATAACGACATTGAGAACAATTTCTTTAACACACAGACATAAAAACGTATGAAAGATTGAATTTTTATATAAAAATATGACGTAACCGACACTAAAACGACACGTAAGAAATATAAAGTTAAAAAGTCCACCCTTTAATGTTGTTGATAAACAAATGCGTTAAACCACTTTAATAACCTAAAAAACAAAATCAGAATGCATTAAACTAACACCTGAGTTCAAAATCAAAACATGAAGATATGTTAAAAAGTTGAAAAAAATAGAAGAATCAAAATTAAAGTTAGTACGAAAGTGAATCGAAAGAAAGAGAGTTTTTTGATTTCACCAATTTGAAAAACATCACCAATCTTTCAAACTTTTTCGATCTTCTTTGATTTTACAAATCTAAAAAATTCAATGATTTAACGGATCTAAAACATCACTTATATAAAATTTGAAGTAACAATAAAATCTAAAATCATGTATGAACAAAAGATTGAAGTTATTCAAAACGATTCAAAAACTAAAAAAAAAAAAAACTAAAGTTTGAATATTGAAAGAAACATTTTAAATTCAACATTGCTATTAAAAATAAAGACTAAATGGGGAGGAGAGAAAATAATGAAAAAAAAGAAAAAAAACAATAAAAGAGAAAAAAACAAAAAAAAATGAAACTGAGATTTTTTAATTTAGATATATTAAAAATGAGTAGCTGTTTTAATAATAAACATAAGAATTTTAATGTTTTAAAAAAATGAAAAAATATAATTTTTCAAATCAACCATTTAAATAATATATAAATATATATATTTATAACTTTAAATCTTACAAAATTTATTTAAAAAATAATATATCAAAATTCATATACTTAACTGTGAAAAATTTGAATTAAAAAATAACAAATTCGATTAATAATATAAAATCTATTAATATTTTTAAAAATCTAACTAATTTAAAATTTTAAAAAATCTTCTAAAATAAAATTCCTATCCAATACACCCCTAAATCCAGTAAAAATTGTCTTTAACTCAAATATTGAGTAACACACAGTAAAAGAGTAAACCAGGCTTCTTTCTTGTCCAAATTAGCGGAGCGGCAAATCGCAAAACAGAAAAGGGCAAACGCAAAAGCGTCTCTACTTCACTTCTTCTACTATAACACCACTAGGCCAGTCGTAACTAACTGCGCGGTGTTCAACACTCCTTACTCAGTCAACGATGCTGGAGATTCAGAATGAACCACCGGAGCAAACCGTGAATTTCATCGGAGAATCAACAAACTCTCAATTTCCTCATAACACTTTCCCCAATCACGCAACCGCTCCGATTCCGAATCCTAACTTCTCCATCCCTCGCCCTCCTCCTCCTCGCAAACGACCGTGGGGAGCTTCTCCAGGTACGGTAACACTACTACTATCCTTTATTTAATTTCTCACTTTTTTGTTATCATGATTTTTTACTTTTGCGTTATTAATATCACAGTTTCTTTCTTGTTGCAGATCAAGTTGATATTCACGGTCATGTGAAAGTTTACGTTGCACCGGTTCCTAGAACATTATCTGAGGCTGATGTAATTCATCTTTTCTCTAACTCTTTTTGTACTCATTTCAATTTCTGCATATATAGTTTTTTTTTAATTTATTAATTTGTTCATATATCTTTTGATATTGAATCATTTTTTAAGCAAAATGAGTTTATTCTCTTTCATTTTTTATTGTAGCTCTTGCTTCTCTTTCTCATTTCATTTCGTGCGTTTTAATTTATAATCAGCTCCGACTTGTGTTCGAAGGATATGGAACTATTGTCGAGGTTGTTCTTTTAAGGGATAAGGCAACGGGAGCTCGACAAGGTATCTATATTGAGTTATCAAGTGTTACTTCATTTGTTTATGTCACCATCTATTACTGCAATTTGGTTTGTCAAGGGTTGCGAGGAGTAATGAGTTTCACTTGATGCTCACATTAACATATGTTGTATATATTCAAGTATGAAAATTAATCTAATTTTGTTTAACTTTCTCAGGAAGTTGTTTGGTGAAATATTCAACATTTAATGAAGCTGAAATGGCTATTAAGGCTTTAAGCAATCAGTATATATTTCCTGGAGTAAGAACAGTTTCATATATGATTGGTGACTTGAGCTGTTCCTTCATGATAATCATCTGATTAATTTAAACACATCTTTATCTTTTTGACACATTTACATTTCCTAGGAATTAGTTCCTGTTGTTGTCAGATTTGCTGATCGTGAACGTGAACGTTTTGGTAATTAATTTTACTTCTTTAAATCCTTTTGAACCAGTTATTTAAGTACAGCATTACTTTGGGCTTGACTAAGCCAGGATCCACTTCTTAGCTGATCAACTATAACAATTTTCTGCATCTAGTTTGGTTATTTCATAAAATACTATATCCCTGTGCATACCCTCTTTCAAATTTTTGATAGAAAAAATCAACGACAAGAGGTTTGGCAGTGTATTATGGACTCCATATGTACCTCATGAAATAAATGTTAACCAATACTTTAGGACTCCATGTAACACCTGAGGTGAAAGAGGACGGTGGTTACATGTAACACCCGTGGGCGAGGGAGTGGTTGTCGGTGTCATGAGGCATGACAATGGGACACTCCTAGCAACTTCTAGGGGAAAACCGAATTCACATCCGAATGAGAGGGATCCTGAGGCTATGCAGGTATGGGACTGCATGGTTGAATGAAGGCTTATAAGGATTAATTGGTACTACCTATACCAACAAGATGCATCTTCTTTTCGGTAGCCCGTTCATAAGAACTCCACAGTTAAGCGTGCTTGACTTGGAGCAATTCTGGGATGGGTGACCTTCTGGGAAGTTTCCCGGAAAGCGTGTGATTGAGGACAAAGCATGCTGAAAAGACCCGTGTTGGTTTGTGGGGTCAGTCGGTAATCCTAAAAGTAATATGGGGCGTTACAAATGGTATCAGAGCCATACCTCTCCCAGTACGATGTGGTTCGGGGACGAACCAAGCGGAAGTTGGTGGGCATGTAACACCTGAGGTGAAAGAGGACGGTGGTTACATGTAACACCCGTGGGCGAGGGAGTGGTTGTCGGTGTCATGAGGCATGACAATGGGACACTCCTAGCAACTTCTAGGGGAAAACCGAATTCACATCCGAATGAGAGGGATCCTGAGGCTATGCAGGTATGGGACTGCATGGTTGAATGAAGGCTTATAAGGATTAATTGGTACTACCTATACCAACAAGATGCATCTTCTTTTCGGTAGCCCGTTCATAAGAACTCCACAGTTAAGCGTGCTTGACTTGGAGCAATTCTGGGATGGGTGACCTTCTGGGAAGTTTCCCGGAAAGCGTGTGATTGAGGACAAAGCATGCTGAAAAGACCCGTGTTGGTTTGTGGGGTCAGTCGGTAATCCTAAAAGTAATATGGGGCGTTACACTCCATATCTATTATGGACTTGATATGTATCCTGGACTCCATATTTACCTTATGACGATTATTAGAATCACAATTTTGTTATTTTGCCCAATCTCTTTTATTTTTAAGTTTACTGTTTGCATTATACCTTTTCTTTTTTGACCCGTAAAAAGTGATTTTATGCTGCTATTTTACTGGTGTTGTCATGTCCCAATGGTGTCGAATTGGGATTGGTTTCATCGTGATGGTCCGTCAAAACCTTTCTTTTTGACATGTAAATATTAAGCCTAAATTTACATTTTTGAAAGTTCACTCCTTAATGTTCATATTTTATGTCGACAAAGTCATACAATACACTGATTTCAGTGTATATATGCATGTAATGGGTAATTAAACTGATAATTCTTTTTGTATGTTTTATTTGTGTGGTTCCAAATTATTCTTTTGCAGGGCTTCGAGGGGGCTTCTGTCGAAACACAGAAAAGAAAGAACCTCTGGAAGGCAAGCTTCTCACATTTTTTTCTTAAGACAGCTCACAGACTCCTATTTTATATATGATTCTCTAGTTCTAATCTGATATTTTATTCTTTTATGCCATTGTTTTTCAACTGACCCTTTATTTTACTTTTGGCTGTGTTCCTATAATTTTTCAGCGGTGGATAAAATTTTTGTTAGTTACATAAACAAAGAGGCTTCAAGACAGGATATTGAAGAAGTATGTGTGACTGTTACCCTAAACAACAAATTACTAGTGCATTTTTCATGCAAATGGTTATACATGCTGATTGTAGAAATTTATTCTAGGGTTGCTGGATTATCATTTATAAATGCTGCCCAAGTGTCTCCTATTAGTTAATATTAAGTTTGAAATAGATATTTGATACAGATATATTGGCTATTATGTGAACACTTGTGATGTTTCCAAGTAGAAAAACTAGAAAAAAAATGTCTTGTTACCAACATGTTGATATTTTGCTGCCTAATTCAGTTCAGTAGGTTGATATGCTTAGTTTATCTCTTTAACATAGCCGTTTATTTATATGTGATGTAGTATATTATGGAATATCTTTTTTAGTTGCAAGGTTGTCTGTGATCTCTTAGCTTTCACACTGTGTTTGAGTTTGTATGCATATTCTCTGCAGATATTTTCCCCCTACGGGCATATAGAAGATGTCTATATCGCGCGGAATCGTGGTTGGTTCTTGATCTTTCCATGTAATGTTTACATATGACTTCTGTGGCTTTGAAGAATGGACTTGTGCTTCATTTTGTCTTCTATGTCTTACCTGTCATTTATACTGCACGGTTAGGAGTTGCAGACCTGAAAAATAAAAACCTAGTGGAGAGGTATAATGAGAGGCAGCAGGCAAAGATTGATTGAAATGAAGAACCATGTTTGAACTATGATCTCATTTAACTAAGTTTTGCTTCAAGCGTCACTTTTTAAAGAAAAAATTACAAGTATTGTTGTTGAAGTCATAGGGTTAGTCTTTTAAGTATAAAAGGAGGAAAGTAATCACTGAGAACAGTAAAATTATATTGATATTGATGTGAATGATAATTTATTCTTGTTCAGAAAACAAAGCACCGGTCCTTAATTATTTATTTGTTGTCTTACTAATACTAGACTCCTAATCCTCAACAAGGAAACAAATCAGACTGTCGGGAGTTATTTTCAGATATTCTAACAAACAAAATTACTAAATGTTTTGGAGCAAACATGCATAAAGAGAGAGGATCACGCCCAATCCATGATGGACTGTTTGAATTTTTGCTATGGTTTCTTTTAGCGCTAAGTCATGTATAGTTTATTTCATCCATTTTTTATTCAATGATATTTTGCTTTTACCTAACTTTTATGCATTTCTTGATTTTCAAGGATATGGTTTTGTCAAATTTTCTAATAGAGAGATGGCGTTGGCAGCAATCAAAGGGTTAAATAAAACATTCACGATGAGAGTAAGGCTAATTTATTAACTTATACAATATGACTCTGTCCACTGTTGAATGCTTGCTAAAATTGTATTCCTAATAATGCAGGGTTGTGATCAACCGTTAATTGTTCGTTTTGCGGAACCTAAGAAATCTAGGATGGGAGAATCAAGGTTTTGCTTTCTGTCCTCTTATTCATACAACTCTGTAAATTACAGTTATTGTCATCAATGCATTAATGCAATACAATACAAGTAAACAATGGTGTAGGCAATATCAGTTAAGAACAAGTTAATAAAACCTGGTTTTGATTGTTGCCAGTTATATTGATGGTCAAACCCAAGCAAATATGACGGAGTTGCTTCTTTATAATGCATTTCTTACAAAACATGCTTATTTATAATATCGACAATCAGCATTTAAAAATCAAACACTACCAAATTTTTTTACATGTCGTCATGACCCAAAAAAATTAGTGAAGAATATATATAAATTTAATTTAGAAAACTCAATGTCAGTGGTGCACGGTTAACTCAATATTTAAAAAAAAATACTTTGAAAGAACTAATTTGGGTGCGAGTTTTACTGAAGAAAAGATTCATCATACACTAGAATATGAAAATAGTCTTATTCATGTACCAAATTAAGATTTTATTAAATAAAATTTATTATTTATCTGACATTTTAATGTATTTTTTACATTTTATATTGTTTTAAACTTTTGTTATTATTTAATATTCCTCTACTATATAAAAGCGTTATTCCTTTGATTTATCTGACATATTTATAAAACATAAATCCTTTTCTAAAACACTTCCTTTACTGAAATTCAGTCCATCATATCACTCAGCCATGAACTGACTTTCCCTTCCGGATCTCCAAACACAGGAATACTTGTTAAACGTTTATTGTTATTGGGGATAGTTTTAGTAATTATAATTTATGTTCTATTTGTATGCATCTCTCTAGGGGCAACTACTTACCTGTAAATGCAAATTACGGTCCCAGTTCTCAAGAACCAGCAGTTTGGTTTGTTTTGTTTCTTATCTTTCACTTCAGACTTCCTTTACAGATTGCAATACACATGCCACATGCTGAATATGTTTCTGTTTAATGGTTTGTCACAGGCCACTGCCGAATTTTTGTGATTCTAATACTGGAGGGAGTGTTGCGCATACTGCTCCACACCATTCCAGACTTCCACACCAGCAAGTTAATGTTCATATGCCAAACTGGGAACCTGGGGCTACTGTTCTACAGCAACAATTTCTTCCCCAACATGTACATTCACAATTGGCTCCAATGCCTTTGCGGCCAATTCAACCCCCTAACCTGCCTTCTCAACCATTTATTACCGAGGTGCAGAGACAATTTCATCCAGCAGATTTGCCGGTCCAAAATATAGAGCAGCATCTAAGTTCTCAGGTTAGTGGCTAAACAAGGTAATACAGTGTTTGTGTTTCAGGGATGTTTTGGTTGGGGTTAGGACTCAATTAAATTTTTGTTATTGAACAGTTGGGACTAACGTAGGTAAAGTTGTATTACTATTTAGTGTAATCTTGGGTATAAGTTTGTTGTCAGTAATAGTATCCTCAAATCTCCTTATTGTATTTCTTATTCTCTTTAAACCTTCTCAATCTTAGCCTTCACAAATGTTTCTACTCTGAAGATTCTGAATACCTCTCGGCTTATCTATTAAAATGGTAATAATGAGGTGTTATAATTGAGGAGTGGTATTGGAGAGTTGAGTTACTGTTGTAAGTAATGGTGTAAACTATTGAGCATGTCATTCATTTAGATTTATGCTGAATTTTTTTCTGTATACCACTACAAATACACTACAACACAAACGTTTAGATGGATCATTCAACATGACCAGATACTGGTTTGGGATCTTTATTTGGAATACTGCAATAATTTTCTCATTTATTGTTTTTCCAGCTGCCTACTCAGACTGAGCATACCAATTTAGTTGTTGTCAGTACCTCGCCTGATCTTTGTACTAATCCCGAAGATGAAGAGTTTCCAGAGTGTGACTGGAGTGAACATTACTGCCCAGATGGTAACAAGTACTACTACAACTGTGTCACTTGCGAAAGCAGAGTAATGTTTGAAACTTTTGATCTTACTCTCACAAACTGCTTTGGGTTTCTATTACTTTGTTGTAATGCTTACTGTTGGTGCAGTGGGAAAAACCAGAGGAATATGACAAGGAATCACAGAAGCAACACAAGCAAGATGATCACAGCATTCCTTGCCCGCAGGAATCACAGAAGCAACACAAGCAAGATGATCACAACATTCCTTGCCCGCAGGAATCACAAAAACAACACAAGCAAGATGACCACAGCATATCTTGCCCAAAGGAATCACAGAAGCAACCCAAGCAAGATGATCACGGCATTCCTTGCCCGCAGGAATCACAGAAGCAACACAAGCAAGATGATCACAACATTCCTTGCCCGCATTTGTCGTTATCTTCCTCTCAAGAAGTTTCTCAAAAGCAACAGGTCTATTCTTATTCGAAACATTATAAAAGCCATCTATACCCGACTGCCTAGTTTAGACTTAAACATGGCCGTAATACAAGATCAAATTGCATATAAATAACCTCTGTTTAGTTAAAGGAGGGTCCACATTGGCTGCTCAATCCTGTTTTTCTGACATCCTGTAATTTTGCAGGAAACAAATCACGATCACATGCAGTCAGAAACAAGTCCTGTTGTTGAAAAGGTGTGATTTTATTTTTCTTCTTGTGATCCTGGAGTCACATATTGTCAACAATTATAATTATAAGTATAAAGTGACCTTCAAATTGTTCCAGAAGATTAAATGGTGTTTATTTTTAATTAAGTTTCATAGTATCTTTAAAAGTAAGTTCTATTAAGAAAGGGATAGAATATAATCTAGATATTTAGACCAAAAATTGTCCACATGGGCTTAATTTTTCCTTTGGAGGGAAAGAGAAGGGGGATTGAAATTTGAATTGGGTTCGAAATCTCACAATGGTAGGGCCAGAGGGTGCTGTCAATATCTCTATCTCTATCTTGTACCTCTATTGTTTATAGCTTGTAAGTGAAAGAAACGTGAAATCGTTCAAAGCTTAGCGAGCCTGATAAGAAATCTGTAGGGACTACAAATTTAAGAAGTGCAGTCCACTTTGAATTAGTCTTTGCTCTTAATTATTGCCATAATGAAATTGAATGGTGTTTTCTGCTCTAGTCATGCCATGTGATAAATGATTACCAAAATTTAATATATGCTACCTTTAATTGTAGTAAAATATTAATATTATAGACATGATTTTTCCAAGGAATACTTGAAATTAAACATTGGCGTTGATTGAATCACATTCTGGATAGAGAAGATTCATTGATGGCGACACAGATTGGGAAATCACATCATTCAGTTGGTTAATTTTTTTTTTTTTGTAACTTACATAAAGCTACCAAGGATCTCTTTGGTGCGCAAAATAGATTTTTTTGAGCTTATAAGTTATATTTTATTCGTATCTTTTAAAAGGACATGTTTTATAACCATCCTTTTTTTTACGACTTTATGATTTATTTTTATTAATTTATAGTTTTTTTTATAAGATATTCATATAATTTATTATTTTTTCTCTCTATTTTACTTTTGTTATTTTAAATTAAAAAATTAAAAATAAAATTTATTAAATTAAATACTATAAATTTATCCACTTCATGTTAATTTATTTGCTATCTGTAATAAGATATGCTATAAATATATATTATCGTCGTTTCTTTTTTCAAATGTGTTTTTTTGACTTTTGAACATACCAATAAAATTTATAAATATTTTTTAATTTTTGAACAACTGTCCTTTTACATATGCTAATATCTTTAATTATTTGTCCATTCATTTGACATGTTTCTCTTTGCAATAAATAATTATGACTAATACTATTTTGAAATTTGAAAAAAAAAACATTAAAAAAGAAACAAAAACTTATTAAAAAAGTGACATTTGAAAAGGAGGAGTGTATGTTATAAACTATTTCAGAAGAGTGAATTTTGATTTAATCATACATGCATGAATAAGTAAAAATGTACTTTTTTTGATTCTCTGTATTTTTTTATTTTAAGCAAAAATGTAGTTTCTAAATATATCATTTATTGAATGATAGTTAAAAAAAACAAAGGGAGTAGTTTGTTGTAGTTGCACGGTTCTTCAAAAGTGAGGCATGGACATGATTTCATGTTTAGATCTTGATCTTTCAAAATTTGATTTAACTGTCTTCAATTCATTTTTTAAACTCAACATCTCATTGTTTTCAAGTAAAAGAAAAATTATTATTACTACTACTAGATTAGAGTTTAACTTGCTCAATCGAAACTAAGCTTATAAAGAACACTAAACGAGCTATCACTTAATTTAGTTAAAAGAAGTCCTTATTCCAATGCATGGTATGAACCAAATCACGAATCAAATGCTGTGTTTGAAGTAGTATTTCTTCTTTTGTTTAGTCAGCACCTTTTTACAATTTCTCCTTTTTTTTCTCTGTCTGTCCAATGAATCAAGTCCTTTAATAGATTTGATCGTATGCATGATAAGAGCATTTACTCAATGAGCTTAAAGTAGTTCGTTAATGGTGAGTACTACACTTTCTATTGATTACTTCATTACGTATTGGGACGTATCCTTCAAATTATAACACATTTCCCTATAATTCGCTTTCCATAGAATACTAAGAAAAAGAAAGTAAAAGCATACACACCAATTGCACCCATTTCAAAACCTAAACCTAACCACAGTAAAGTGAATGCACATTCCAAAACAAAAAGTAACTAATATACAAGAACAACGAGTAGAGAGTGTCAATGACAAAAGAATTCAAAATCCACATCGATGATAATTAAGATTTAAGACCTATATCTGTGCAAAAAAAGATAATATGGGTTTAGCAGTATATATATTATACGATCATCACTAATGGAGTACTTTCTCATCTAGCTAGCTACAAAAAAGTGATCGATCAAGCGAAATAATAAATGAGATTATAATGATTTATCTACTCTACTCCTCCTTAAACATATTTGAAGGAACAACATCTTGAAGAAGACCATGGTCCATAACCCTTGGATTACTACAAACCAATCTCTCTTGAGGAACCTTTGAAGGAAAACCCATAGACGACACCGTATTCAAGAGAACTTGTTGACGGTAGTGATTATAATACGGAGACGACATCATGTAGCTTTCAGAACCACCAAAGTTGGTGGTGGTGCATTCAGCTGGTGGCGTCGGAATTAGAGACCCGACATGAGAAACTGAAGAACGACCCATAACTGGATTTGGATGTGTGTGTTTCCCTTCGTAGGTTGTTACTACAATGGTTGGATCATTCAATGACCTCTCCACGTGTTTCTTCACATTACATGAAACACTGGTGCAACGATAATAGCTCCTATAAAAGGATACAAAATTAGAAAGTGTTTTTGAAGAAATTAAGAATAATATGGATAGTGTTAAACTAGTGTTTCTATTGGACACTGACCTCGGAAAGGGGCTGTTTTTAACAGCTTTTTGACCGTACTTTCTCCATCTGTACCCATCTTCCAAATGATCCACCTCACTTTTCGTCATGAACGCGATTCTAGCTTCTCTCTGTCTCTTCTGGTTTGTTGTCTTCTTTGCTTTCAACCTTAATAACAAGGTCAACAACAACATCAACATTAGATCCCACAAATGTTCCATATATCAAACAAAACAACATGAATAGAATCAAAACAAAATTAAAAGCTGAAAAGATAGAAGAAGAAAAGGAAACTATCTACTCACTGTTTTTGGAGATGATGATTAGCTTGGTCAACAGTTTTATTGTGTTCATCATTGAGTGCTTCACTAGACGCAGATGAAATGGAAGAAGAGTTAGGAGTAGCAGGTTGTTGTTGACTGTTCAAAATCTCTGAACATGATTCTTTTCCATTTCCATTATTCTCATCGAGCGATTTCTTTACTTCCACCGGAAAATCAAGCATACTGTAACTAGTGTTCATGTTTTGCACACCTAATAGCTCCATGAAACTCCTTTCTTCAGTTAAATCAAACATGTTTGTAAGTGAATAGGTAGGAAAAGATCCAATCGAATAATCATCCATATTCATACACTTTTTCTCCATCATCAGAGTCTGAGATATAGTAGATAGTTAGATAGATAAGATAGGGTTGGTTGATCTATATCTATAGTAGTTTAAAGAGAGAGAGAGAGAGAGAGAGAGAGAGAGGGTTTTGGGTTTATAGAAGAAGAAAGAATGAGAAAGTGAGAGGTATGTGGGAATAGGAAAAGGGGAGGTGGGGACAGGAAAATGAAAACTTGTACAACAAGATGTAAGTAATGTAGAATGAACGTGGGAAAATGGAACATCACACGTAAGTTAACCGACAAGTGTAGGTAAATTTATGGTTCGGACAAGGTTTAGCCGGTTGGTCTCACGAAGCTTTCATACGTACCTTTGACTCAGTCTTTGTCTGTGGGAACGGGGTTACGGTTTGGCTCGAATTACAAACGTTAACGCTGTTTATTTCATACTCCTCGCTCTCCGACACACGCTTCTCCGTAATCACCGTCAAATAGTACAGATTCTAACACATTTCGGTGGTCGCATTAAATGCTCGATTATATATATCTATTTAATCATTCATTAATCTGGTACATGTGGATTAATTGACGCGTATAAGTTCTAGTGATTAAACAATAATCTAGAGATAATTAACGCGTAAAATGGCAAGGAAAAGCGCGCACACACAAAGGTAAACAAGGAAAAAAAAGTTGGAAATAGTAGATGAAAACTCTTTCGGCAATCCTGACGGAAAAAGGAATGGGAAGGTTCATGCACGTGTGGTTTTAAAATGAGCCACGAAATGCATGCTGGTATAAGTACTTTGCTTCTTGCTACTTGCTACCATCTTCAATTATTTTGTTTGGCTTTTTCGAGTAATCAATCTATTATATATATATATATATATATATATATATATATATATATATATATATATATATATATATATATATATATATATATATATATATATATATATATATATATATATATATATATATATATATATATATATATATATATATAGAATGTGAAAACAATTATTTTTTTATTAATTTTATAAATATTTTATTGATCTTATTGGAATAGAAAAGGATCAACGGTCAGCAACACGTTGTGATTTTTTTAATTCGCCGGAGGTAGAAAAGAGAAAAGGGGTGTACTTATAAGGTACTCCGATGCCAAAGTAAGAAACGAAGTAAGAGAAAGACAAATATAGAAAGCTAGATTGTGAATAGAATACATGACCTTCTAGTAAAAAAAATGTATTTATAATGTGCCCACAGCGCACGGCTACCAGTTACTTTGCATTGGGTTGGATCGCTAGACCCAATACGAATAACTGCCAGGGCTTACGTGGCGTAGGGAAGATCAACACATGGTTTTCGCCCTGGGTCAACTACCCCGTGATCTTAGAAAGGCGGGTAGTTGTCTGATGACGTGTTCCCGCGTAAGGGGCACGTGAAGTCTGTGGGGGAGACGCGTGAGCGCTCCCCGTCTGATGTGATAAGCTGAGCCCTCAATGGACCCTCCCCGACAGTGGGGCAGCCTCTTCCCCAGTCCAGAACAGGATCCCCCAAGTCGTTGCTCCGAAGCAGAGGAATAATGACTTAAGAGTCAGTTCTAGCGTCGATGACCTTTTTGGAAGAGCGTCGC